TCCCCTGTTAACTCCTCCCAGTTTGTGATGGTTGTAGGTGAGCTGGAACAAACCAATGCATGTTTTCACTTGTTTCTCTTGATCCTCTTCATGTAGTGAGCAGTCATCCTTCACCACTCTCACAAGCCATTGACGTCAGTACACGTCTTTTTTTCTTCTAAGATCCTGTGTTTCCCAGCTGTGACTGAGAATTGGTGACTAATAAAGATTAAGGGATAGTTCAGCTTTTCTGCCTCGGTCATTGCTCTCTAGGAATTGCGGTACTGCAGGACCCAGAAGAAGACCCGCTTGTTTATTGATGTTCATAATGAGTTTCAGGCATTAGAGACCTATACTGGATTCAAACCAACAGGTGAAAGCTCTATTACTGCCAGTCTGTTCAGCAATCAAGGCTCAGCTTGGGTTTAAAATGGAGCTTTTCAGTAAGAAAAACAAATGAACCAGCTGTTCCTTGGGCAAATGTGTTATACACAGAAACTTAAACTCCTTAAATTAGCTAGTCTCACTGCAATGCTAGATTTTGTTTTGTGTCATCTTAATTTCTCTTCCTGCAGCAAGTCTGTCTGAGGAATGGAAGAAGAGATGGAATCCGCTCAGTTCTTAGGATTTGGGTGTTTCTGAGCAATCCTTCTCAAACCTGTTCAAAATCTTAAAGAAACAGAAAGCAGAAACAATACATTTGCTGCTTTTCCTGAAGAGAGAATGGTATGCAGCTTTAAAGAAATGCCAAAATGTCATTAAAATGCATTAAAACTTCTTACATTTTTAGAAGAGGGTGGTTACACGTGCCTGGTTTTAGTAACCTTGCAAGTTTATCTTCATGTCATTTAAATTTCTAGTCCAAACTCTGACCTGCTATCTCAACCAGTCCTTTAGTGTTTTCCCTTACCAATCCACAGAAATATCACCATCCTAATAATCTCAGTAAAACAAAGTTTTATGGCCTGCAAGGCAGTTCATTTCAAAATGTTCCAATTCCAAATGCTTGATGATCACATCTGCTTATTTTTCCGCCTGAAACTCTCAAGCTGTTTTCTACCTGGATAACAACCAACAAGAAGCTCTGCCTTGCAGCTCCTTCCAGAATTCCTCAGTCTCCAAGCTGATACTACTTTCGAAATATCAAAATAATCCCATCTGCTGTGATTCTAGCATTGTATCTTCTGTTTGACTTGATTCAAGCCTATAAACTTAACTCCATAACTGTGTTCCAGTCACTTGTACCAAATGACTCAAGACTTTGGTTGACCGTATAAGTCTTTAACTGGGAAATTTTCAGGATAATGAATTGGTCAGTGAGATCCTCAAAGTACCTTACCATGTCACCTTAAGTCTGAATGATAGAAGGTTGGAGAGGATTAGGGTTTTGGGGGGGTGTTGCTTGGTTGTGTCAATGGCTTTCCTTAAAGGCAGTTCTTCATGATGCCACCAGGATGTTTCATGTCCAAGTTTATTACAGTCATGTCAACATCTAGGGGAGTATTTAAATATACAAAGAATATATTGAAGTATTGGTAAGCATAATTTGTCCTCTCCTCAATATCATTGTAAGATCTTGTTATAACATCTTGATCTTTCATACATCCAGTACAGAATCCTCCACCTAGACATGCATGTCAGCCACCCATCCTCTCTGCTGCTTTGTTCTTGAAATCTGCCCCTTCTACGTGGTTTCTTTCTAGCCCGCCTGAGCTGCCAAACCTCTGTTTGCATTGCTTTTTCCTCCTCTGGTTTAAGGGAGGCTGCATCTTTCCTATGCTGTAACTGGCTGGTGAGGGTGGTTGCCTAAGTAACGGGGAAACCTAAAAAAAAAAAAAAATAATAATAATCTTTCTCTTTTTCTCTGTTTTCTCATAAAAGCTTGACATTCTTTTAGTGCCCCTTCCTGTTAAATAACTTGTGTGACCCAAGCTGATGTATCTCACAGGAAGGATCAGAAACATGGTTTTCAATTATAACAGCAAAATTACAAAGGGTTTTGTAGTTCGGATGTTTAATTTCCTGCATGCTTTGTGCTCTGTAAAGGATGCTGCAGTGAATGCCTCGGTGAAGAGCTGCCATCTGGCTGGTGAGATAGGCCTCGCTGTGTTGGCTGTGGGTAATTCAACCACTTTCTCTCTTCCTTTCTGATAAGTTGTGTTTGTCTCATCAGTTAAAATAGCTCCATGCTCACCGCGCCTTCTGGTGAACACATGCAGCCATCATTTTGCTTTTGAACTCAAACCAACATGATACAACCCTTCACATTCTGCTCTTAAGTTTGTTGAGGTTTACAACATCCTGAAGGTTGTAACGGAGTCTGACTCTCTCCAGAGATCACGTAAGTGAAAGCCTCAGAAAGCCCAAAGCCCAGTGGGAATTAGCTGGCTGAAGAGGACCAGGCTGTGCATGCACAGCTCCACATCTATTCGAAGGTGAGGACCAACATCTCACCTTCTCTTTGGGGCTTCATCTTGGCCTTCAACAGGCACTGTGCTGGTAAGGAGGTGGTGCATTGTAAAGTCTCTTCTGCTCACAGTAGTCGTCTTCTGTGCTCTAATCAGTATATCCAGTCTTGAAAGCCATTGGGTGGTAGGCAGTGGGACTTGAGAGTCTTCAGGGTGTTTTTACAAGTATGAGTGGAAGAATGGGATTACTGGTGAGGTTTATGGTAACGTGTTGTTACATTAACAGTTTGTTATAAGCTGTTTCTCAGTCTGGGATGGGACTATGCAGTTTTTATTGGCAAATGGTTCTTTTTCTTTTTTTTTTTTTTTTTTTTTTTTAAGACAGACCTCCAAGTTAGCTGCTGTTTCAGAGGGTTTTTTTAATATTGCTTATCTGATTATGATTAAGCAATCCAGTGTTTATAGCACATGCTTTATCCTTGATGTTAGTTCAGCTGGGCAAGGATGTAAATGATGAAGAAATTCCTTGGGAAGCTTAACCCACAGTATCTAAAATTAACCCTTTGATACGCTATTCTGAAGTAGGAGGATTCTATTAAGATATATGCTTTTGAAGAAAGATACAAGTTCAATTGCTTAGTCTAAATGTAAAGGCTGTTGAAGTCTGGATTTTTCTTTACCAGTAAACAACATCTGTTTGTTTCTATGAATGTCATCTAGAGTTTAGTACTGTGACATTTAGTAAATAGATCAGGCGTGCAGAATGAAATTAACATTGTAAAGTGGAACTGAACTATGGGAACTTCGGGCTCTAGTCTGTATAACACAAAGTACCGTGAAAGGTATAGATCCAGTAGAGTTTTGATAACAGCTATTTTGCTCTAAGATTCATAAATGATACAGGACTGCAGGGGTATAACTATATTTTTTTTTCTGGATTTCTTTTTTCGTTTTATTTTCTCAATAAATCTCAGGGCTTAGCTGCCTTGGTGCTACCCATACAAACAGAAAAGCCTCCAAAAGCAGCTACACCTAAAACGTTGATCTTTTAGCCAAAGATTTCCTCTGTGTGTTTTCATCCACACAGATTATCCTTAAAAAAGGGGTGTTTCTGTCTAAAAGAAAGTTTTCCAGCACAAGATGCTGCTGTCACAGTGGGCTGAGTGACAACAGTACATCCCCCAGTTAGAATTTTATATTGCAGTAATTGTGCTGATCAAACAGCCAAGTTTAAGACAGCTCCTTGTCAGCATGAAAAACCTCCAACTCAAAAAACCACCCCTAACTTTTAACAAGGAGCAGTTGGGTGCTGTGTGCAGAACTGCCGAGTCAAAAGAGTTTTTTACATATTCTGTTGCAGAAGGACTTCGTTCCTCCTCAAGCATTTCCAACTACAAAAGGATGGGTAATCTTGCAAGGGAATGTGCCCCCTCTAGGGGCAAAAATGTGGAAGTTTGTTCTAGCAGGTAAATTCAAAACGGGGGAGAAGCGTTTGCTTGGAGGGTTGAATATCCTGGGGGGTTTTAACCACAGTGAGAAGGGACTTGTACTGTGATTTAGGATGCAGCTTTCTCAGCATCTCGATTTCCTGTCTCGCTGCAAGAGGTGAGCTGTGCTGTCTGCAGCAGGGCTCTGCTTTCAGCCTTCTCTAACTCTTTAAAACATGAAAACTGTGCTGCTGTTTTTGCAGGGCATATCCATCTATCCAGGTTATAAATATCTTTATAAAGTGTGTCTCGTACTGTGGAAAAAGTCATCTTGCATTTGTTACTTCAGTAAGTGCTATAATTCTCAAGCTGTTTGTGCATGTGGTACCCTTTCAGTAAGAAGGAATGCGGTGTGGAAGGCAGCAACACCACTGCCCAGTCATCTCTAACATGAACACCCAGATTATCCTGAGGAAATTCTCAGAGGTCTGGGGAAATACAAATCACTCTTGAAACATCAGGGCTTTGAATATGAGAGTTAGAGATGCTGTGCAACTATAAAGTACGTGCTGGCTGTCGTTGCTGCGGTGGTGACACCGTGCTCCAAACGGAGCCGCAGAGTTGTCTGACTTGGGTGGTCATGTTTGTTCTGGCAGTGCTCGCTAAAACATGGGTCCTATATGAAACTGTTTCAGCAGTTGTTGAATGCTTCAGAGGTTACAAAATGTTTCTTTCACAGTGGTCTCTTGCCTTTGGTCTTTGCCATTTTGCTTATTCAGAGGATGGGTTCTGAACCTCAGGCTGTGCTCCCAGAGTAATATTACTCTTTTAAATGACACGTAGGGAGAATGTCGTCTTCTCTCGTCTCTTCCTTCCTGCTGCTTTTGAAGTTTACCCTGGTTTATCTGGGGGGGGGGGGTGCGGGGGATGTGGTGTCTGTGTTGTGGGGGGGGGGGGGGGGGAGAGGGGGTGCTTTTAGCTCAACCCCAAGTTTCCACAAGGAAACAAGGTGAAGCAATTTTTAATGAAAAGTTGAGATTTTTGTATCAATCCTTTAAAGCCTGAATTCAGACCTCTTCACTCTGATGGTTCAACAGTAAGGCAAATGCTTCCAAGCATGACCACTCCAATGTTAAATGTAAAGTACGATCATACTCATTCTTTTCCCCCTTCCTATCTCCTAAAGGTGCTCTTACAGAGTGTTACGATGAACTGGGCAACCGGTACCAGCTTCCCGTCTACTGCCTCGCCCCACCTATCAACATGATAGAGGAGAAGGGTGACCTGGAGACTCTGGATATTCCTGATCCCCCACCCAATTCAGGACACGAATGCCAGCTCCGTTTGCGCCTGTCCACAGGCAAAGACCTCAAACTCATGGTCCGCAGCATGGACACAGTGTACCACATGAAGAGGCGGCTGCATGCAGTGGAGGGAGTGGAGCCCAGCAGCCAGCGCTGGTTCTTCTCAGGCAGGCCACTGGCAGACAAAATGAAACTGGAGGAGCTGAAAATCCCAAAGGACTACGTGGTGCAAGTCATCGTGAGCCAGCCCTTAGCAAATCCCACCCCGGTGGAAAACTGATTTCTGTTTCTTGTGTATTGATTCTTCTAGCCTCCATCTCTGTCATGGGGTTTGTTTTCACTGCCCTCTCTTCTTTTGGTTTGTCCTGCTAATGGCTTAGTTCCAAGAAATGACCAGCAAAAATTCCATCTGTGATGGAGAGCTGCAAAAACAAAACATGAAAATGTAAACTGGCCTTCGGGGTTTGCCTGATCTCATGTTTAACACGACAGCAAGCAGCACAGGCCAAGGGCAAAGGAAAGAGCGGGAAGAGGAAGGGAAAAGACAGGAGGTAGAAAGAGGGAGGGAGAAGATTGTTGTTCACTTAAACAATACAAATATGTAACGATTCTTCAAACTGTAGGTGGTGTCCTGATCCATGGAACCAGAGCAACAGAGAGCACTTTCACTTAATAAACAAAACCTTCATCAGTTTATAACGTTTCATGTCAGCACCACATGCAGTTCATGCAAGAATCTCAGCTGCTGTGGATAGGTCCTGTGCTGCCTGTTATCAGGGATCCTTTCTGGTTTGACCTAGCTCATGGGCTTTACCCAGGCCCCACGGAGGCACAGCCAGCCCTGGGCAGTGGAGCTGGGCTGGGGTCTTAGGTTCCTGGTGATGCTCAGACCAAGCAATTGTACATTCCAAGGTGGCAACACAGTCCTGTGCCATTGCAGGCTCCCGAGCTGGGAAGACAGCCCACTGGAGCCTTAGGCAATAACTTAGTCAATGTATACTCTCATGTACTGTACTGTACTGTAAACTTACTTGCTACCAGACTGATTTAGCCTAAAGTTTACTGGCTCATGGGCACCTGAGCATGTGCCTGTTGAATTCCTGTACATCACTTGGATCATTGAAACAAGCTGTGATCAGGCTAGCTGAAGGGAGTGATGTGCTGGTCTGTGCTTAAGTGTTAGGTGCATCACCTTTGTCAAATGGCAATGTAATAGGTGCAGGTTAAACTGCAGTTACACCCAGATGCAATGGATTGCAACTTCCCCCGCTCAGTTCCTAGAGGGCACAAAGCCTGGAATATGGTAAGGAGGACATGACGGCATGCAGTCTTCAGCTGCTTGTGTGAGCGTCCTTTCCAGCAGCAGTCAGTCTTCTAGCTCTGGTGACTCTCCAGCCAGGACCACTGGAGGTATCCTCACCAGCATGCGACAGTGGTGTTTCACAGCCAGTGCTTTCCCTTCGGAATGTAAGAGGAGCCCTCTCAGCAAATGACAAATCCTTTAATAGTCTCAAAAATCTGAATCAGAGCATATTTGGGGGTGAGAGATCTAATTGTTTATTCCCTCAGAGATGCTCTCTGTGTTCCTTTGACTGCTCTGCACCCTTGTCTGGTAATGCCATTGGTTGAGAGCAAACCTTTTAAACACAATTTCTACTTTTCTTGTTTGTTTTTTTTTTTTTCCCAGCCAGCATTGAAATAACTTCTTTGAAAATCAAATGTGCTCTTCAGATACGAATAGCATGTTTTGTGGGTTTCTGTCTTCCCTCTCTCAATCGTCTGAAGCTACAGTTGTCCCAACTCTTTCTCGTCTGCTAGTGAAACTGGTGGGTTACAGGGACGATTTTAGACTTGTTACTTTTGCTTCTTCATTAATTCCCTAGAACTCAGTTTCTGGGACTCGAAGGGAGTTCTTGCTCCATGAGCATCAGCACAGAGCCAGAATGACCAGTGGTCACTTGTACAATATCACAATGCTTTCCCAGCAGGTGGAAGCAGGCGCAGAATTCACATTGATGGTTGGAAAATAGATCCAGATGTTATATGCATCTCCCACCCTACCCCAAATAAACAGAGCTTTCTTGTTGGTCCCTGTGTTCTATTAAGCCTATGGTTTTCCGACAGCTCCTTTAGCCCCACTTTGGTACAGGAAGTACAGTGGCAGAGCTGTGTAAAGGAAAATCAGTTCTCTGTTGTGTGAACACCAAAGTGACTTGGTTTTCTTTTCTTCTTCTAAAAGATTAACTCAAAGCTGATAAATGCTAATCTATAACAAAAGGTTTTTATTGTAGAAGTTTGGGATTTTTTAAGACAAATCTGATTTCCTATACTGTGTTTTTACCACCAAGATCTTTTTCATTCCACAGGGGAAAAAAAGTACTTGGTCTGTAAACAGCTTGAAACTCTCTTGGATTTTTGCTGAGCACAGGATGATTTCATGCCAGGAAGACACTGCTTGTCTGTGAGGCATAACTTACATCTCTGTGTAAATGGTCTTTATGATGTCCTTTCCCTGCAGTCCCTTCTCGAAGGGGGAAATTGTGATAAAGGAGGAGCAAACCAGGGTGACAGTTCTGTAACTGTGAACACTACAATACATACAACTGTTTTCCTTTTTTCTTTTTTTAAGGATACATTTTGTTGATTATTTTACTCTTTCTCTATTTTCATTCAAGTAATTGTACTGGGTTTGAGATTACAATGTGTATGGTCAGGGAGAGCTCCTTCTTTCCCTCTCCTCCCTCTTAGTTGGAAAAGGTTCAGTTTTATTATGCCATCACAGATGACCATGTTTTATATTAATTGCTTTTATGTTGGGCGGCAAGGTGAGCTGAAGGCCGAGTTGTGAGGGGGCTTTGAGTAGAACAGAGAATTGGTTCATTAAAATATTCTTTTCTCTAACAGCCCCCATCCCTTAAGCACATATCTGTAACTGGAAAAATTCAGTGGTAAAATACTTTTATAATTGAAAGTGAAGACTTTATCCTCTTCTGTACGAAGACAGGCGAGCACATACCCAGCTGGAGAAAGGAAACAATTTACAGGATTAGTATTAGGAAAGATTTCTAAGTTTCAAAGCATATATTTAAAAAATGTTGGTAATGAAGGCATACAGCATGTTGAGTAACATATCCCATATATATAACTAGAGCTTGCAATTTCCCTTGAGACAGCAGTCTCTGAAATGCCTCATCTTTGTCATATGAGGTGGTCTTGGACCTAAACACCAATGCAGGGGACTGGGCTGGGGCTCCCATGGTCCTTGAGCGGTTCCTGGGGCAGAGTGGGGCTTCCCATGTGCCTGGAGGAGGGAAGGAAGGGAGGCTCGTTTAATGACCCAGCGGAGTAGAGAGTGAAGAGGCTGGAGTGAAACTAACCAAGTGTTAAACTGCTGCTGAGCTGGCAGCCCTGGTGAGAAGGACTGGTGCATGGTGGACACTGCTCACAGCAAGGATGGGTGGAGGCACGCTGGTGTGGGCATCTTTCCTTTGCAGAGTGAGTGTGTGTTGCAGCTTGACACTGCTGGCAGTATGGCCAGGACTGCCTTTTGGCCTGCCAGTTGGTGTGCTGCCAGCACCAGGGGGTATCTTGGGCATAATTGCAGAAATGTGGCAGGTTTTTTAACACACACAGCTGTGAACTGCAATGCCAAGTACAGACAAGTGAGGAGTAATAGGATTATTTTTTTATTAGGCCCATCAGCCCTTTGTGTCATTCTTCACTAGCTCTGGCTATGAACTGTTGCCCGTAGATAACGGTTTTTTACCATGTTAGCGACAGGTCTGACGTGATTCAGATTTTTATACTCTTTATTGTTGCTTCTAACTGACCCAGAAGTAATAACATGGTGAAGGTCCACACTCCTCAACAGCTTGAAGAGCAGAGAGGCACAAACACGCACAGTCTGTCTATATATTGGGGCAAGGGAACTTCAGGAAAGCCCCATACGCTGTAGGTCCATTGCTCTGTGCGCTGCAGAAGGATGCTCACAGTCATCTTCCACAACCAAAAAGTTTGACCTTGGCTCTTTGATCCCTCAGTTGATTGGTGCAGAAAACACAGCTTGAAATAGCTGTGCTGCAAGAACTGTTTCAGGAGTTTTCTGAAAGCCTTTGCTTCTCTGCATCTGGGAAGTATTTTTGAAAACTAAAGTATATGAGTGCCCAGTGTAATAAGTTGAGTTTTCTAATAGCCACCCCAATGCTAAAAGTAGTAACAACAGCCACAACAAACATTACCCGAGGAGCAACCAAACAAAATGCAGCTCCTCTTTGCCTTCCACATAAAGTTCCTAAGTGGCTTTGGGGAGGAGAGAAAAGGGGGGTTCTTTGGAGCAACAAGGCAGCACGTGGCAATGTGCATAACCTTTGGTAAGCAGATGGCTGATTGATAAAGTATTGCTGTAGTATGACATGTTTCTGCGTATATATCCATTGTTAGTAAATAATGTAAAAACCTTTTAAAAACTGTTAAAAAAAAAAATCTTTGTTACAATGGTGGGATGCTTTTAGCCATGGAGTTTTGAAAGCATTTTTGCTGTGTAAGTGTTGACGAATTGAATGCTGTATGTTTCTCCGTTTCTATCTTCTTCAGAAGCAAAAGTGGTAGCTACATTTCTGACTCGATGTCTATTTTACAAACTCTTTTCTATGTCACTGTACAGACATCCAAGACCCTGCACCTTATGCAGAGAATGTTTACATTAAAAAAAATGATTTGTTGGCTTTTTCACTGCGCTGCTCAGCTCCTGTTACGTTGAGATGTCAATAGTCTCTGTTAGAGAATGGGGCTTCTTTTCCTTTGCCCTTCACCAGTTCCCCTGTAATTCTGACTTCCCTCCTGGATGATGGCTGGCAGCTCTTGGACAGCTTGTGCTCTTCTGGAGCAGGATGTAGAACTGTTTGAGAAAGGTGTTTTTGCAGATTTGCTTTGGGTGGGGGGATGAGCTCCGTGTGCTCTGCAGCTTTCTTGGGAAAAGAAGAAATCTGCTTCAAACCCACTAAGATGTTGGTGGTCTGCCTTGCAAGTGAACTGATCTAGGGAGCCTTGGAGTTACACTTCCCAGCAACCATGCTTCTGTCTTCTCCCAAAGAAGATGAATGTCCTGCTATTACATCTGCAGCTACAAACCCTTCTGTTGGTTAATGACTGTATATACAAGTCTGCCTGCTTTAAGACTTTCCCTTTCATCAAGTGTTTTTGATTGCTCTGTTCTGCAAATGGCTCTCCTCTTCTGTATTTCATCTGCTTAGATACTGTTGTAGTCGTGGGGGTGTTGCTCTTGTTCGTAGGAGATGGAGCTATAGCTCTCCTTCCAGGGGAGGTCCATGCCACTGAGCCTACAAAAGTCAACTAGTGGGAAGATGAGATGTTTTAACCAGCGGGCTTCTTATGTGGACTTGGAGACTTCTAAGAAATGTGTCCACTGGACTACCCGTGAAAAAGGATGCTCCTGCCCTCCAAGCAGGACCACTTGTTGGGTATTTATGCGGTAGAACTCTGTATTTGTATTTACAGACAAAGACCATTCGATCCGAGCCATGGGGCAAATAGAGAACTTAAAATCCTGACTCCTGCCTTAAAACTTAGTTTATTTCGAGCTCCAAAAATTCTGCACCTGCTCGTTCCCAAGTCCCGTGTTTCCTTTAGGAAA